CATAAACTGTACAGAAGCATACATGCACATATCTCTATATATGTAGCATTCCTCTGCAGATGTCTGCAATCAATGTAGTAATGTTTGGATACCCATCCAAACATTACTACATTGATTGCAGACATCTGCAGAGGAATGCTACATATATAGAGATATGTGCATGTATGCTTCTGTACAGTTTATGGTGGCTTACAAACCCATGGACACACACACACACACACATGTGTGTGTGTATCTCAGCATGTAGGTGATCAATATGTAGATGTGAGGAGAAGAACCAGTGAGACAATTGAAACTGGCAATGTGTCAGGGATGCTTTTTCCCCATACTTCTCTTCAACCTTCAAAATAGTCCCCAAAGGGATTTAATAAATATACTTTAATACAATATAAAGTAACAGAACTTCTAAAATAATTATTCTGAAAGCAACATCAAGAGACAGAATCAAAACATAATTCAAAAATTCTTTAAACCTTGGTGGAATAAAAAAAGAATTCTGTATTACTCCAAAGAGAATTCATCGACCCTAGTACTGCTACTGAAAAGCCCTTCCTTGTCTCACAAGCTAACAGTGGGGTTAATAATAGGGTGGAGTTAATAATGGAACACAGTGCAGAGTTTCAGGTGGTGGCTGCTATTAGGTATAGCATGCATATGTTTGTACAGAACACAACCCTTCAGAAGTCTTGTTCTTAAAGCAGTGTGTGTAACATAGTGCATATATGTGCTTTCGAGTCGCTTGTTGACTTATGGCAACCTCATAAATTTCATCAGGTGTTCTTAGGCAAGAACTACTGGTAGATGGCTTTGCCAGTTCCTTCCTCTGAAATATAATCTACAACACCTGGTATGTGATTTTCCATCCAAGTACTTATCAGGACCAAACTTGCTTGTCTCCTATATCAGATGGGATCTGGTATCTGCAGGATATTTATTGGATAAGTGTACATACAAATAACTAAGGTTGCAAAGAGATTAAATACTATATAAATGAATTAGAGAGAAAGGAAAGGAGATAGTCCCATACTTTGATGTATTGCCAATTTTAACACTTCTTGAGAATTTTGTAGTATTTTAAACAATATATTGTAGTTACATGTCCTTCATTTTACTTCTCAGATCTTTGGACAAAATTCTGTTAGTCTCAACTACAGTAGATCCATGGAATCAAGGTCCTTTGAGTAATCAATCAACACATAGATATATCCCATTGATTTAATAGGTCTACTTTAGTTGTAAATAACAATCAGATTTGGGCCTGTTGTCTTTTCTGTTTGTAATATTATCAAGTGTTTTGTAAATTAAAATAGACTTTTTTTCAGTACACTCATATCAAAAGGGAGAAATAATTTAGAATAAAACTGTATCAGGAACTTGAATGAAAATGAAATATAGAAGTAGAAATAGTATAATTATGGGGTGGAAAGCAAAAGTATAAGGAAAATCTTTTATTTCATATATTTCATATCTTTCTCTCCTTCACATAAAATCATTTCAATAACTGTGCTACTTTTGTTCTCAATTTGCTGAGTGAACTAAAAAACAATCACGTAACAGTCTGATTTGATTCAATTTTAATGTAAAAGTTTATGTGCTGAGGTTAGATAGCCCTATGGGAACTTTATGGGGGAATCTAGTTGACACTACATTTCAAAAACTTTTATGCACCACAAAACCATTGCAAACTCTGAAGCAATAAGCTGGGGCTGAGAAAACCTAGAGTGTTGTTGGTGGGAGAACTATAAAAACCAGAACCTTGTATGTAAAATATAGGCCTGTCAGAAATAGAGTTAGGGCCAGTTCAAAATAAATGAATGGATAGATCTGAATAGTGTTACCTTGTTTGCCCTACATGCTTCTCCTATGTTCCAAAACACCGGATATCTGTGAATGGTCTAATGTTTGAAGAGTGTACTGAAAAAAAGGGTTTTCTTCAGAGGTCTTTTTTCAGTATTGTACAGGTTGCATCACTCTCATGTAGAAATCTAAAATCCAAAATATTCCAAATCCAAAACTTTTTGCCATCAGCCACCCATTTCTGGGGAAAGTGTTTTAGTGCCCACTATGTTTTCCCACAAGGCACTCTGATAGGGAAAATAGAAGGTGGCAGAAAACTCTACTTATAGAAAGTCTCTGTAAAAAGTAGATGTCCTTGATGTTTCTGCACTCGCCTTATGCCCAACCAGTAGTGGCATGTGGCAGGACTAGAAATGGCTGCTAGTGGAAGTGCAGAGCAACCCGTTGGCTGCCACCTGTCTATAGCCCAGGGAGAATGAAAAAAAATCAGGGAGGTACCCTTAGTAAAGTACCCTTCTTGGCTACTTTGCTAAAAGGACAAAATGTGTGCTGACAAGTGGGGAAACATGTGGGATCTGTTTTTACCAACCTTCTGTAAGCAGAGTTGTTCAGCATTTTGCCCTCTTCTCTTTCTTGTGTCAAGGCTCCTTAAGTATAAACTTCTGATTGGACATGTGAGTAACCCGCGTTTCCTCTATGGGTTTGCAAATACAAATATTCCAGAATCCAAAATAATCTGAATGCTGTTCCTGAATAAGAGAAACTCAATCAATTGACTTTCAATTGATTTTATTGGTGCCAAATCATAAAAACATAATAAAGTGTACTTACACATAGTTCTTCCACAAATTCATTATTTTAATTAATTCAGTTGTAACTCAGCACTAAATATAGGTGATGATGTTCTAGTAAAAGTTTTTTCTGTGTTTTTGAGCAGATTTTTATGTTTCATATCAGCAAATTAAAGTGTTTTGAAAGCTCATTAGAAGACTTTCAATTACTGTTTCCTCAGATTCTGAGAAAATCTTACTCAGTCACACATGGCAAAATAAAAAAAGTAAAAGCAAGTCATAAAAACTGTATGAGAAGGAGCAAATTTGAGGTCATAATTTTATAGAACACCCAATTCTTATCAGATCACCAAAATAAGGGTATTTCTTTTTTTTAAAAAGTAGTATTGATGACCCCAATTTTACAGGCTTGTGTTAACTGAAATATCTATCAGGCCTATGTATGCAGATTATATTTTCAATAAACATCTGTTTTGTCTAAATGCACAGAAATGTGGGAAATGGCTGAGGAGGTACAATATTGCTGATCCATTCGGATAGAACATATAGCACAGAGAGATATTAGAAGTAACTATAATCCTAATCCAGGAGAGGAGGAAAAACTTCAAATGCACAGGATTCTTTCTTGTGACTGTTGTGGTGGAAGATAATACACACTGAAAGAGGAACACAAACAGGAGTGTATAAGCGCTGTGGTTGTAGCTGAGGGGAAATTATTGCCTCTACCATAAGAGGTCTGTTCTTTCAAATATATTTTCATTCAGTACACAAACTTCTAACATTGCACAACTTAAAATATCAGATGAACATTTAAAAATGCAGTTTGGACATGCAAAGAAAAGAGGCAGGCAATGTGAACTACAGTATAGTATCAAGAGAATGTGAACACAGCAGTATAGTATTCTATGTGTTAATCATTTTCTGTGCTTCTGGATGGATTTAATGCTAAAGAGGAGGTGAATCAGCTAGGCCTAGGCCAGTTAGTACGGACCTGAACTACATTAATTAAAATCATGGGTTGCTCTGATTTTCATGACTTTCTGCTTGTGTAAGCAGCACTGCTTACTATTTGGCAAACAGCCATGGCTCTTTACAGCATCGTCCTGTTTTCCTGGGATCAGACACCCCAGAACAGGAGATGGGACCCCCCCTTGTCTTGTCAAGCTGGTGTTTGCAGTGCCTACCAGGCATGAAATTGTACTACTGGACACTGCTTGGCAAATGAAGTGGCAACATCCAGAGTGATCAGGTGATTGGAATAGGGAGAGGGAAAAGAGATAGCAATTCCTCCTTTGCCCCCCTCCCTCTCTCATGTTGCTTCATTGATCTGAATATCATCATTCCAAGTGCTGAGTGGTGTCCAGTGCCATTTTCATGCCTAATGGGCACTGCTAACACCAGATTGATGGGGGCAAGGAAAGGGTTGCTGTTGAGTGCCAAACTGGTGCTAATGCTGTTCTGCCATATGGCTGCCATCCAGCACTTAAACTGGCTCAGTGGCATGCAGTGTAACCTCTAGCAACATTGATCTGGAATACCCCACTCCTAATTAGCATCACTTTTTCTGGCCAGTGGAGATGCACCCTCATTCTCTGCAGTGCTCATTTTGGGGGATGAAGGATATTTTATTGGTAGGGCAGAGTTCTTACTGGAGGGCAATACCTTCATTTTCGTCCCCCTCATTTTCGTCCCAATGCACCAACATATTGAAAGGAAGTAAAACAAAACTTAGGCCATTTTCTAACACGTTAAGTAAATAATCCAAGCTGCCATATATGAACTCTGGAATTTTAAAACATCAGAATGTTCAGAGTTTTATTGATCTATATTAGTAGATGATACAGATGCATTAGCAGCTTTCAGGGAAAACTTAGAGATTGGAGTCGGTCTGGAGCCAGCACCTAAGTCTTGGAGATATTAGGAATGAGCTGCAAAGAGAAAACAAGAAGAGCACCATTCTTGATTCTCCTAAGCATATGTACAATGGCCTCAGAAGAGATATTAAAATATCTATCTATTTATTTATTCATTGATGAAGATCCCCTAACCAGTTCAAATGAACAATAACAAGTTATAATTTTTAGACTTTGTGGAAATGGTTGCGACCAGAATCTTTGATTCATCTCTTTGAATGTGAGGGAGGGAGAGGGCTGGAACTTTCTCATAAGATCCCTGTGCTTAATCAGATATTAGATTTTACAATATATAACTGTATTTTAATAAATCAATTTTCACTCCTTCAAAAAAAAGTGATAGAACAAAATAAGGGCTTAAGGAAGACTACTATTATATTCCCTTTTGGAAATTAATATTCAAAACCTTGCTAGTGCTGTCCAAATTCTTTTCCATATGCTTTAAGTAAAAAAAAAAAGGAAAAGTAGTGATCACATCGGGTGTTTCTATTTTCTGCAGGCCCTATCAGTGTGGACACTGCTCCCAATCCTTCTCCCAACCTTCAGAGCTCCGGAACCATGTAGTCACCCATTCCAGTGACAGACCTTTCAAGTGTGGCTATTGCGGTCGTGCCTTTGCTGGTGCTACTACACTCAACAATCATATCCGGACACATACAGGGGAGAAGCCCTTTAAGTAAGTAATCAAAGGATCAGATCACCAGAAAGGGCATTAGACCACCAAGCTCAGTCAGTAGATATCAGCCACTGGGTGGGAGTAGGCCTTTTTTCTGAATAGCTGATAGACAATCTTTTTCACTTCATTTCTGTAGAAGCAAAATTCACATGTTGCAATACAATTATTGAATGCATCTGGATATGAAATGTAAAATGGGTGATATTGCAGTGCTTGGAAACATTACTGTTTCAAAACTGCAACGTCCAGAGCAATCTAGAAATGTAACTTTTCCATACTCTATGTAATGCAGGCATCAAATATGTGTAATTGAATCAAAAAGAGTCAGAAAAAAAAATCAGATTTCTATAATATTTTTCTAGTATCTGAATATCTCAGCTCCATGACCAAACCAAGGAAAAGTCAAAACAGTAGTGCTGAACATCTAGCTTTCAAAAAGATAGGAATATTTCATACAGAGGAGACCCTGGGATGTTTCAAACCACATAATTACAATGATACTATTCTACTTTAACTTCCATGGCAACATCCTATGGAATGGACAGTTAGAATTCTTTGCTGGAAAACTGCCTCAACAAACTACAAATCCCAGGATGGCATAGAATGTAGTTATTGCATAGTAGCATCACTGTGCTATAATTGTATACTGTGAATAAGCCCTTTGAAAAGGGTGTGGCATAGTTTTGCAAAGGAGTCAAGAATAGCAGGAACATGAACCATTAAATCCCATCCCTATCATTCACTATATAGCCACAATGGGGAGTGCGGGATTCTAAATACAAATATATTTTCGCAGGCACTGCTCACTTGGTTTGAAGAGATTATGTTCAGTTTACTTTTAAGACTAGTTTGTAAAGAAGATAGTTGTGTTACATCAGTTTCAATTAGTTCAGGGATATCAGTTTTTTTTTAAAAAAATCAGCAGCTTTCTATTTTCACATTATGTTAAGTTCCTATATGATTCTCTTCTTTATTTTGATTGCAGTGGGACAAAGCACATTTGCACCAGTTAACAATTTTGGATCACTTGAGAACTCATGTTGCTTAACAGAAGTCATACTGGGGATTTAGCTTCAAATTCTATTTCTAAAACGGATTAGTTGTCAGATTTAGGACTGCTCCCTTTGGGCACTTTGTATTTCTTCATAATGGTAGCAGGTGATGGAAGGGAGATAGTTGCAGGTTTTCCAAAGTCCGGCATAGTCAGATTCTAAATAGTGACTAACTAGGGACTACCAGTATGATGTAGTATTGCTGTGTCAACAAATGGTGCTCACAGTGCCATTATGTTGGAGTAATAGAGCCAATGGAAAGTAAAGCCAAAACCATTGCCAGCAATCAGATTGATTTTGTGTAGTTGCTGTGTAAATAGATTTTAGTAATTAATTGTAGAGGCTTCTGGGTCAAAATGGAAAATAGATTTCTTTTAATGTTCAGATGTTACTTATGTGTAACCTTGTTGACTCCACTTACTCTCCCTCCTTAACATCCTGTTTTTGTCATGTTTCCAATAAAGCCTCAATTTGCACCATTTAGAGTCATTACCACATTCATTTCTTTTCAGTCTTGATTGTCTTTTTCTTTTCTTTCTTTTAATTCCATTCATAAAAGAAAAGGTTCCCCTTTACAGATGGCAACCAATTTGTGTCATTTGATGCATGTCACTCATATTAGTTTTAATGTGATTTGTGCTACTAACTCAACACAAGATTATTTCCTATAAAAGTAACCAGTATCTAATATTTGTGTGACTGAAATGCACTTGAATGTGTAAACTTATAGTTACATCGCTGCACAGGAGCTCCTAGCCTGACCCAGTTATTGTGTGACCAACAGAGGTCTGTTCCTCAGTTAATTGTGAAGCAGCTCACGGACATTTCTATCCACTTCCATGTTTGACCTCTGGTGTGGCATACAGAAGCAAGGACCTTGTCACAGTTTCCCTCACAATGGAGATCATTTGTACAAGGAGGGACGGGAAGCTCAATCAGATGCTTTCTGGCCTACATGGAAACAGATCTTCATTAATCACAGCAGATGCTGCCTGATAACTGGAGATTGGGGGACTTCCATGGTCCCTGTGTATCCCCTAAACTAGGAAATGCATTGGGATTGTGAATACAAACCAGTTCCAAATACGTAACTCTAGGTTATGCATTTGTAAGTGATTTAGTGGGTCCTTGATCATATTAGTGTATCCATGCGGTGGAAAACCAGGTATCAAGGATCTGCATGTAAATTATTGTTATACAATGAAATGAAGGACAGTCTTGAATGTGATGCCAGAATCTTTACTCAAGTGAACTATGAATTTGTTTCATGCTAAATTAGAGAATTGTTTTCATAAAGGTTAGGTATGAATCACATTTGCACAGGCAAGTGTGCCTCATAGCTCATTACACTGGCACATTGCATTCAATCTCAAATATGATAGCAGTTCCTGATATGTTGCACATATATACAGCAGACTTTATAATTTACTACATTTATCTCTTCCTATAAGAATCGATGATAGACTCGTGGGAGTGAACGACCAGCATAAATGTTGCTCTATATGGGGGTTTATTGTGCAAACATCTGCATCTCTGTAGCTTATTGCAACAGAACCACTTCACCATTGAGCCCTTAATGTCAGACCAGCCATGAGGAAAGTTTTTCTATGTTAATGTCTTTGTGATCTCTCTCTCTCTCTCTCTCTCTATTGAATTCTTCATGAAAGTTACTTGTTCTTGCAAGGCAGTTATTCTACAAGCGGCCATAAACTGGAGACAACATCTAATTCATTACCAATGCTTAGAGACTATATAGCCCAGATGTCTCTAAAGTGTATAGATTAAGTCACAATACTGTCCTATCTGTTAAGTCAGTGATGGATAGATAGGTCTTGGTTTTGAAAAATATGTTAAATATACAAGATTTAATGAATTTGAGTGTGTATAGGTATTACTAAGGTAAAAGATCATTCTAAGTCCAAGTAGTAGAAAGTGGTGTATATTGTGTAAACTAATCCTAGAACTGGGTTGATTTTAAGGCTTCTGTGATTTTTTAAAAATCATAATTTGCAAGTTTTTCAAGCAATGAAAGGTAGTATATTTTGACACACTAATCCAGTAACTAATCAGTTTTCTAATAAACAATCAGCAATACACTAATGTGTCATCAGCATTTCAGGAACTCTGGAGAGAGGGAGATCTGCACACAGACGTTAATGAATACACAAAAAATCATTAGGTGATCAATACTTCTGAGTTATTTTCATTGAGCTGATAGGTCTGATACATTAGAGCTGACATTTTACATTTGTCAAGATCACAGTGCAGTTTTTAACAGTAAAGCAAGCTGCTAAAATATTCCAGGAGAGACAATCAAAGAAACACAACTTAAAGGTGTTGACATCCTGTGCTGGATCTCGAGATGAGATGAATGACTATGTAACATTCAGGTCACAGGTTCCTCAAACCATAATTTCCCCTAAAAATTAATTATCAGGTAGTTTATAACATTCTGTAATGATGTGTGTGTGTAAATGCTTCTCTGATATGTTGTAAGGAGCTACTTCCTCTTTTATATAATGTTTACAAGAGTATAAACATAGATGAAAGGGGCAGAGCCTTTTCGTTTTTTGAAGCAATACTTTCCCCACAAAATGTTCTTTTTAGATGAAAATAGGCTAAAGCAGCACTGAGGCCCAGTTTACTTCTAGGGTCATGACATTAAACAATCTGTGCTTTTTCTTTGTAAATGTCACTGAAATTAATGGCAGTTGTGCAACATTAATTTTTGGTCAGATTCTTTCAGTATAACACATATGCTCATCAGGAATTTAAAATTATTGTGAAGAAATCACATTATGGCAAAGCAATAAGATTTGAGATCTTCATCAGAAATAAGTACAGATGTTTTTGTTTCAGAGGCCTGTTTCTTATAGCATTCATTATTTTACTATGCCATTTAAATACTTACGGAGTTAAGGTAGGATAGAGGCTGGCTTTTCCTTTTGATCATCTCAACACTATATGGAATTCTAGGTTGCGTTTTAAAAAAACCAGCCGAAACAGCCTGCAATTCTACCTCTTTAGTATGCACTCAACTGTATTGTAATTTCAGATACAGGGCTTTTCTGTCTTTGCAAAACAAAGTGATTATTGCTTCAGGGCTTCATGATTGTTCCAATAGGCAAGGCTCCTGATTTTTAAATTAGCAGGAGGTGAAATTCTATTTGTCATCAATTTCTCGGAGGGATTACAGAGCAGAAAACTGCAGACAAGCTGCTTCTTTGATGGCTCATTCCTAAAAATCTCTTTTTGTTCTTTATCTATTTGAACTGACAGTGATCAGAGCTGTAACAGGACAGGCCTCTCTGGAGAAATCACCTTCCCCCCGTCTATTGACAGATTCCTCTGTTCTGAATCAGACAGGCCTTGTCCCATCATAGGCATCAAGGCCTTGGAAGGAGCCACCAATTAAACCTCTTGAGCTGGTAAAATCTGAAGCCACTTTTGAGTGTCTGTTCCGATTAGGCAGGATAAGACGAAGCCCGATGCCTCCTCCCCTTCCCGGAGCTGCCCCCCATTCTCAATTTTCTCTTTTGCCTTCTCCAGGTGTGAGAGGTGCGAGAGGAGCTTCACACAGGCCACCCAGCTGAGTCGACACCAGAGGATGCCCAATGAGTGCAAGCCAATAACAGAGAGCACAGAATCAATTGAAGTGGATTAACTGATTGACTGGTTGGAATTAAACTGCAAGGAAAGTCATGATTAAATGTCACGGACACTTAAGCAAAACCAAAGATTTCCTCTGAGCAACTTTCAATCAGTCCCAGAAAACCAAGACCAGTAATAAAATAAGTAAGATGTTAAGAGATATTGATCCTGGCATGGAAGTGAAACCAGGGAAGAGATTATTTATTTATGACTAAGAATGAAACTGATTTCAATGGACAAGAAACCCGGGCCTGCTGGCATTTCTAGCCCCCTCACCATGTATTGCTTTATTTCTAAAAGCTTTTATAATTGTTATTTAAATACCAAAGGAACAATGATCAAGGGTTCTTATGCCCATAGTTATGACTGTGAATGCACATGGACTTGTTTATTGTGGCACCTTTTTTCATCAGCATGACTTAGTGGGTCCAGGTATATTCCTCCTTAGCTAGGTTCTGTTGGGTTGCATTTCTCTTGACCTCTCTCTCTCCTTTTTTTTTAAACAAAGTTTCAACATGATGAGAGAGAAAGTGATCCAGGACCATCTTCACTCCAACTGAAGACATTTTACTCCCGTGATTGCAGAACTCACAATTTGTGCACTTTTTTGTATAAATGTTTTCATTAACCAGTGTTGCATTGATTGATACAGGAGATTCAAGAAATGTTAAATAAACTTTGTCTCATATATATATATATATATATATATATATATATATATATATATGACAATTCTGTAGATGTTCATGCTGTAAAAATATGAGGAAAAGAAACATTTGAAATAATGTAGAATTTTCAAATACAGTTCTCTTTAATGAATGACACATATTATTCATAGATGATGAATAATAGTATCAAAGAAATGGTGACACTTTTAACTCTCATGCTTGAAAACATAAACGTTAAAATGGAACATCAAGCTGCAGTCTTTCCTTTGATGGCAACATTACCTTTTTATGTGAAAAATCAACATACATTGTCTACCTTTACAATTTTCACAAGCATTGCACACAACAAGGAAATCACTTGACATACAATACTTTGTCCCTTTATTCCTGTTGCACTGCATCAAAATTATGGGCCAAATATTGGTGACTGGATGGATGTGTAGCTCAAATTCATTCTTAATGTTGCTAAGATGAATTGAAATATTTTCTTTCTTCTTAATTATCTTCTGGTATCTGGGTTTACTAATCTAGTCTAGTGTATACCTGATGCTCTCGAGTGCTTTTTGAGCACAGCAAAATGCAAAAGTCACATTGGACATGCACTGTTGTATCTATTGGGACTTACTTTCAAATAATTATGCATAAGTTTACAGCAGAAAAGTATATGAGATTTTAGCAGGTTAAAATATAGAGAAAGTGAGACAGTGCTTGTAGACAAAACTCATTCAAGATTGACAACAAGCCAAATTTCAAAACATCAACATTTTCTGCATGAAAATTGTTTGATTACATTAAGATTGCTTTTTTCAGCATTCCAAAATGTACATGGAGTGGTGTATACATTCAAAATCATGGCTCTCAGTGCTAGAACTCAAAGGCTTTTCTTATTGTATTAAAGGAATGGCACAGAAGGCTCACAAATGGGTATTATTTCTGGGTGAGGAATTAGAGACATTACTGCCATTGCCTCTTTCCATTAAGAATCAGGTCCACAGCTCCCACCATAGGTGGTGTGACATATATTTCTTCTTCATGGTTACACCTGTGAGTATTCCTTGCCTAAGAAAACACTGTGAAATTCATGGGGTCACTACAGGCAATTGAAGGCACACCCACATACCTGGGCAGAGACATTCCTAGAACCTTCTAGAGATGTGTAGGTTTTGGACAGAAGACCTTCCCCTGTCTTATCACCACACATCTTTCAAATCTACTCTATTCAGTTCTCTTTCATCTGCAGAAGCAACACTATTCAGAATATTTCTCTAGTCTTGGTGAGAAGTTCTCTGTTTCTTCATTCTCAATGAGAATGTTTCAAACTCTACTGAAAAAGTGGTTTTATAACATGTTTTTATTCTTCTTTGTCTAACATCTGGCTTCTCTCTCTCTTTCTTTCTCTCTTGTATGGTCTCTATGAGTTCCTCTTATAGAGCTTTGGAGATAAAATTGCTTTCTCAGACATTCACTCTAATAATCTTGAGGAGGAGAGAGAACATTCAGGCTTGCCCTATCTGTCAAAATGTAACCAATGAAGGTTTTAAAACCAGATTTTACAACTCTCTTTACATTCTTGGGAATCCTTGCTAATCTTTGATCAGGGCCACCCACTATATTTAGCTTCCTCACCAATTTGTATGAGTCTGGCTCTGTCCTAAATTCTCTGATTATCTAATCCAAAGAAGATGTCAACCTCGACATTCTTCAGTCAGGACTGTTTCAATATCAGCATTAGTATAATCTTTGACATCTTTGGAATAGACATTCATGGTACCAATGTGCTTGGTTCAGATGTCCTCAAGCTCAGCAGAAATTTCAATATGGCACACTGTTTGTTCACTGCCCCTTTCTGCTTCTGGTAGTGAGTTGTCTGAAACCCTAAAGGTCACCTCTAGTCAGAAATGAATGAAAGAGAGGTAGGGAATAAGGACAATTAAAAGTGCTATGTTGAAATTCTAGCACTTGCTCATACTTCAGTTTCAGCTTTGATTGTAACATTATTTCCATAACCTTTCTCTATGTCAAGTGTGGGCCTCCACTGGAGATAGAGGAGACACATTGGCTACCCACAGGATCTTGGAAAACCTCCCCCTACTGCCTCCACTTCCTCATCAATGCAGCATTGGTACTGTAGACTGTATACTACCTTCAATCAATATCTATGCTTCAACCATGTAGAAGAAATCTTCATTTCAATCAGTCCTACTATAGATCTCAGTGTTCATATGTTTCCACTATGTTCATAGCAATCTCCAACTCAATTGTCACTGACAACATCTTCTTTTACCATAGTAGGGCAGATTGAATCATTGGAAGGGTATCAAATCAAAAATACGCATACCTCAATATTACCTGCCTCCATCTACTGTGGTGGATAACAATCCTCTTTTGAAGAGCTTAGGTCCTATGCTGAGCAAGTATTCCGGGTAGCCAATTTTTGAACTTTAGAGCTTCCCAATGGTAAGTTCTGTTCAGCAGTGGAATATGCTGCCTCAGAGTGTGGGAAGTCTCCAGCCCCTGAGGTTTTTAAGCAGAGGCTGGATGACCATCTGTCGGATGTGTTTTGATTCTGTGTTCCTGCATGCAGGGGTTGGACTGGATGGCCCTTGTGGTCCTTTCCAGCTCTATCATTCTATGAACTTCCAATGTCTGATCCAGTATTCTAGAACTTTGACACCCAGGATATGTTTCTTTTGTTAGTTTGGATACTTCTGGTTTAACAATCATAGCCACCGTCCATTGCATTAGCTTCTTGGTGAGTCAAATATTTCCACAAGACATGGAAGAGAGTGCAGGCTTTTTATTTAACCATTTGTTGTTTGACTTCATTTCAACTTATGGTAACTTTAAAATGAACCTATCACTGAGTTTTCTTGGCAGGATGTATTCAGAGGGGGTTTGACTTTGCCTTCCTCTAAGGCTGAGATAGTGTAATTTGCCCAAGGTCACCCAGTGGATTTCCATGAATAGAGATTGAAACTCGGAGCTCCAGTCAAAGTTCAAAATTTAAGTCACTAAACCACACTGGCTCTTTGTTTCATCACCCGGCTTCAGACTATAAAGTGATAGAGTCAACGCAACCTAAGAGTCCAAAAAGGTATATTTTCTATCTTAATATTTGGGGTTGCTGTTTGTGCTGTTCTACGTTTAGCATTAGCTATCAAACTAGACAATTATTAGGCCCGTGTGTCTTCTTGATTTTATCTCTTACTAATGAAATGACCCCACAAATTCTAGTCAGCACTATACCACTTAGGAAGTCTGAAAACCAAGGCAGTAAGATTGTGCATACAAAGATATGGCAACTGTACTTGTTCCCTGCTGTTGTTATTGAATTCACTGTGCTGGTGTGAGGGCAAGAACTGAAGATCTTCATTTAATGGAGAATGTGCTTTTGACCCTAAAATGGATGAAGCACTGAATCATCTCTTTGAGACCTGGTCACTTGCAAAGAAGTGCAGTTTTTCATCTTTTAAGAAGCCCTTCAATAGATCAAAGAACTGTCTTATTTGATAGGATGACTTAACAGACTGCCATGAAGAATTCACAGTATACTGTTCATATTGTCCCATGTCACCTTGGGACTCCCACCTGAGTTGTCTTTTCCACTACTGGTACAATATCAAAGTGATTTTGGGAACTTAACATTCTGTATTATAATGTCCAATCCTCTTCACTCAACTGAGGTGTTTTTATTCTTTATTCTATCTCTGTGTCAGAGGAAGGAGAAAGCTTCACTATTGGAGAAAGGAGCAACAGGATGCCTCCCAAGATTTTTTGTCTGGCATTTCACCAAAAAGGTGGATCTTATCTTAGGCCCCATCTACACTGCTATATAATGCCATTTGAAACAGCATTATATGGTCAGTGTAGACTTAGTTTAAGTCTACACTGTAGTTTAACTGCATTGAACTGCATTATAAGAGTCTACACTGACCATATAATGCAGTTCAAACCGTATTATATGACAGTGCAGATCCAGCCTTAGATCTGCAGTCTATTGACCAGTCTGTTTATCCTCTGGATCTACAGACTGAACTATCCACAGCTTGAAAAAAAATCAAAAAAGCAAAACTTGATGTATATAAAGGAATAATTTTGTTACGCCTTTGTATGTATTAGGACTTCAGTATCCACAGATTTTGGTATCCATAGGGATCCCTTGAAATAAACCCCAGCAGAAACCAAGGACACCCTGTATTGTAGTATCATGCAAAACATGAAGAATTCTTGGCTCTGAATCACTGCTGAATTCCACATTCTGTGGAGCAAACACAAATATTGAGAAATCACACTAGCAAAGTTGTTGGAGCTAATTACTTATGCTCTCTGCATTACAGTCTTAATGTATGAACCAGCTCACAACAATTCTCAGCTAAAAGTGTAGACCCCTCAGTTAAAATATATTGGTTTGTCCTTCATGATTTGTAAAGCGGTTTAACACATGTCGCTTCTCCTGAAAGTATCCCAAATACAATGGGAACTGCAAAGGACAGTGGCTATGGATAAATCTATCGGATTGCAGCCACTGTTGTTATTGTTGAAACAGAACGTCAGTTCTCATTTTTAAAATCACCAGATACCCAGAAGCAAAATTTTATTTGCTTAAACTTGATTGACTCCAGGTGAACAGATAGCTGTCAATGTTTCTCTCTTTTCAAAAATTGGAATCATGATAGTTTACCTTCCTGAATGAAAAGCACATTTATGCCAAATCCAAGACCATTGTTTAGATGAGAGTTTCTCAAACTGTGCTCCTCTAGGTGTTTTGGGACTTCAACTCCCACAATTCCTAACAGCTAGTAAGCTAGCTATGATTTCTGGGAGCTGAAGTCCAAAACACCTGGAGGAAAACAGTTTGAGAAACACTAGTTTAGACAGTCTGGTAACACATCTGCTCTGTTGGGAATGGTCCGCATCTCATCTCCTCTGTGTCACTGCCACTTCTTGCTGGCCAACAAGCTCTGTCTGAAATCCAGAGCATCACAAATGCCTCTGCTGATTAAAGAAATGACCACACAACCAGTAAGAAGGAGGGGATGAAGGAGGATGGAGCACCATAGTTGACCAGGAGCAGCAGCAGCTACATAGGCATGATCCATCCCCTTTCCTTGAGCTGATAACTGCAGAGACAGTGTGATGACACTGGGGTCCAGTGTGAACAACTGATCAGATTGAATCAGACCTAATTTAGTCTGGACTGTTCCGTAGCTGCTGGATACGCTGGAGTTCCCAGCAACCTCCAGAG